ACATAAACAAGGTCAGTGTGCACTGTGTGGCGGTTTCTTGGCAGTTTTTGCCTTGCTGTCTTTCTTAGTTTCCTTTTTGCTTTTTGCTTTTAAATTTCCGACAGATGCTGCCGTCTGTGGTAGGTGGCTGCATAATGGCCCAGAACCAACAGATATCAGAGATTATGCCCAGTAATGGGATGTGATTATGTAGGCACTTCTTGCCCCATGCACATCTGTATGGCAGGGATCTGCAGTCTTAGATGTGATTCTGTTTGTATAGTGTCAAATCACAGAAGCCTGTTCAGCGTTCCTGTTAAATTTCACCCGTTTATAGCTCCAATAAAGTGCAGCATGTGTAGTTGTTATCAGTAATAGGACGATGTGTAAATCTGCCCAGTCATACAGAAATGGGCTTTCGATCTACGCTGACTCAGCTGGTTTTCCAGCTAACATTTCAAAGCTGGACTTGCTCAAAATGCAACCAGCTGTTTTGAATGTTATCAGACAGATTCTGAAGAGGAAACTAAATGAAATGTTTGTTCTTCTATTGCAGTAAACGAGGAACTCTCTGATCATACCTGCAGTTGCTTTTTTTCCCCTGTGCATCAATAAACAGAAGCAGACAAAGTCATGAAAGCATTAAAAGCTTGTATTTATGTGAAAGTGCAAAACAATACACATAAAAGTTTGAATTTTAATTATAACTTTGGCCAGTGACTAGAAAAACAAAAAACTGTTTTGTGTGTACGATGTTTGGATATCTTTGAGTACAGAAAATTGGAGTGCTACTATACTTGTGGGGACCAACAGTCACTTATGGGGACAAATCCTGGTCCCCACGAGTTTGTAGGCATTTTTGAGGCTCAAAATGTGGTTTTAGCGTCAGGGTTACAGTTAGGCTATGGTTAAGGTTAGACATTCATTTTTGATGGTTGCAGTAAGTGGCTAGGGAAAGCATTGTCAATTAGATGTCCTCACTGAGGTGTGTGTGTGTGTGTGCGTGTGAAATCAAGCACACCCTTCTTTTGCAATGATGTGCTTTTGCTTTGCACTAGAAGTTGTTTGTAGCGATGAATCAGAAGAGAAAAGGTCATTTGAATGTGAAGTTCCCCTTGACTTTATCAGGCCCCTTATTGAGCCTGTTGTTTAGCTGCTTAGCTACATCTTTTGTTTTGGTTCACTGTTAGAGTCAAACATGTTGTTATGAAACCTAAAAATCCTCTCCTGTCCTACCTGATCAGTGTTAAAATAGTTTGATTCTAGCTACTACACATAGTGGCGCGTTTGAGGACGTCAAAAACGAATAGATGTATACTTGCCTGTTGCCTTTTAGCAAAATCAAAAAACATAAGAGTCTTTTCAGTTATTTCAGATTAATGATGACCTGAAATATATTAGGTATTTTAATTTTGTGACTTAAACAGGCAACAAAAACATCAGGCAAAGCCAGCTCAAACTGTACCAAACACACCTGTTCAAGCTGCAGATTTCACACAGGAGTCGTCCCTGGATATGTTCCAGCCCCTCCTCCACCCCAGCATCCACCTGTAGGCTCCAGGGGATGTTTAGTAATAACTCCCCAATTTTCTGCCAAGCTCTTAACTGTATTCTGTTGTAATCACTAATTTTAAACATCAGTTGAGTGACTGAAATACACTTAATTTAAAAACAAAACTACAAATACTGAAAATGTGTTGGAGTAGAAATGTAAATCAGCAGTGAATGACGGGGAGAAAGTCCCTAGCAGTGCTGGATTTTTGAACAGGACATACTTTCATCGAATACTTCCTGTTGTTGTGTTGTACAGGTACACAACCCTTTCTTACCGCGCGCCGGAGATGATTAACTTGTATGCAGGAAAAGCCATCACCACTAAGGCTGATATATGGGTAAGGTCCTTCCCTGTTTGCATGTATGCTGTCTGTGTGTGTTACGCAGGCTGCAGGGCTGGTTTGGCCTGGCAGTACTCTGCCCCGACAGGTTCCTCCTC